CATGCATTATTAAGGATTCACAATTACAAAATCCATGGTACCTTCTTACCCTCACTTCGACTTTCCTGGTTCTTACTTGCATTAATGGACCGAAACATTTCTTACCATATTTTGCAATACATTTTAAGTTTTATTAATTTCTTAACACTTTCTTTCTCTCTTCTTCCATTATTTTATTATTTTTCTCCCTCTTCCCCCTCCCCCTTTTCGCTTCATGGCACTGGACTGCCGCGAAAGTATACAACTCAAATTTACATTTGAGGGGTTCTTGATGCTCTGGAGACTCACATTTCACACTTTATTCAATCGCTAAGCAGGACACATACATACTAGTCTTTTTTTTTTCACAACATTAGTAGTTAAAAAATCTATTACGCTGAAAGACACTTCAGTTTTAGATTTCTTCCCTATCAACAATTTGGTACCATGGATTCTAAACCGGAATAGTAGCACAGGTTAAATCACTACTAAAATAAGTTGCTAAGAACGATTTTATGCATGCACAGAACAAATTTTCATCATGTCGATTAAAAAAAAATGCTGGAAAAAATGACTTTCTAAGATATCTTTTAACGTAATATTCAAGAAAAAAATCTATCGAAAATTTCAAAAAAACATTTTGATAAGCTTTGATAAGCCAAATTCAAGCCAAAAAACTGAATTTCAAAAATTCAAATTCAATTTCAAAAAACTCGAAACTCAAATCCAAAAATCTAGCATAATACTCGAAAAAAAAATTCAAGCTAAAATACGCTAAAAATTCCCAGGATGCTAAGAATACCAAGTCCGCCTGGGCTATCAGTGTCGATATTTTTTGTTAATGATATTACTGGGATGTTCCTAAGACTCACCACACCAAACTAAATAAAAAGACCTACGTCTACTCTTTTCAGCCAAACCGCCTGAATCCGAGCAATGGAATATGCAAAAATATCAAGCGTGGTCAAAACAAAAAGGTAAATTGTGGAAATTCTTAAGTGCACAAAAAATAAAAATTAAAAATTCGAAAACTACTTTTTTTTCATTTTTTTTTTTCGCGATATTTCTTCGACTACTAGGAAAATGCACTTTAAAGAAAAGAACATTTTTCTTGCTTTATCATGTTTTTTCTTTAACTCCTAAAAAGACTCCTAACCACTTCGATGGAATGACGATGCCTCGAGATGAAGCCATATAGGGTACCAACTTTCAACTCAAAAGTTGAGCCCTTCCGTACTTCTCCTGTACGAGCGGCAAAGAATACAAAAAGTAGTCCGAGTGGTAGCAAATGCCAACAACAACTGCTAAGCGACCAAACGGTCATCTCTTTCGAGGGTTGCTTTCGAGCAAGCTGATGGCAGGTTTGACGGATGTAACTCATACCAATACCAATTTACCATCGAAACGAATCGCTGAAAAATTGGCTGTCCCACCGGCGGGGTCAAACCTTCGACTTTCTGCATGACTACAGTGCTACTTCCCGCTCCACCATGCCCTCCGGGAAACAAAAAATTTCACTATCCAACGTTGAAAAACTTTGATTTTTCGAAATCTCAAATCTAAATCTCTAAAATTCACAGGA